ATTGAAAATGGGTACTTTGTATGTTTTACGGCCTTGTCCGTTTTTCAGGTAAGACGGCCCTTGTCGACTCGAGTCGAGCAAATTTTGACTCGAAAGTCCGTTACACGCGGTGTGAGAACGGATTGGTTATTTATGACCATTAAGGATTTTTCGGCCCACAGTTTGCGTGTCTTCCGCGGTTTTTTAGTCAGTCGTCTGTGAGCAGCTTACGAGTACCCTCGTTGTCTCTAAGCTCTCACGAGCAAGCCTGTATATTAGATCTTGTGTTTCCGTGTGTTCAATAAATATACTTTTACCTAAAACTCTGCCTTAATTATTTGCAAGCAAATGATCAACAATCCGAAATTCGGCGATCGATAACGACGTACTTTTTCTTTGAATTTCAGACGAACATGCACACGTCGTTTCCATACGACGGCGGACGCAGCAGCGGAGGAGGCGGTGGCGGCGGCGGTGGAGGCGGCGGCGGTGGTGGCGGAAGGGGCGTCGAATATGGCGCCGTGCGCCGTCCCGACGCCCTCTTGCCACCCCCGGGCCTCGACCAAACCGACCTCGTTCTCCACAGCAGCCTCGTAGACGACCCCCAGGTGAGCGACGATGTACGTAATCGCAAAGCATTTTCTCTATTACCATTCTACCACCGAGCCGAGCCGAGCCGAGCCGAGCCGCGTCGAGTCGAGCCGAGCCGAGCCGCTTTAATCGAATCGCCATCGCGCAGGAAAATGCTACCCTGACTCATGAGAATCTTCACGAAGAATTTCCGTCACCTTGGGTCATCCTAGAAATAACCGGATTTTCTCCGGGGGACATCGAGTAAATTTATCCGCGGCTACCTACGAGAAAAATGTTAATCTCTCGGGAATGGGAACTATTTTTCCAGCATCTTCTTCGATAGGTCATGTTCATCCATTTCCCCTACGAAACGGTGTTCGAAATTGAACAGTAGAATGCAACACAGTTAGATGGAGAAAATTGAATGAAATTCAACGAAATTTAATGACGATTTGTTGCACAGCAGTTGACTTCTTTTACGGTATCAATGGCGAGATTTGATCTTGAGAGATCGTAGTTTAGACTTGTTGTTAGCTCTCGAATTTCGATAGAACTATCTACGTGGCAACTTTTTAATCGTATCCGGGATTCTAATAAACTGAAACGTGAAGTGCTACACGTTGAGCCACGTTTCGCGTTCAATCAGCCTTTATGCAATATTCTTATCGAGTCGCCAACAACGGATGCCTGTCAAAGTCTTTCGCGTCATCAGCGAACAATTCAAGAACCAAAATTCTTTGAAAGTCGTACATATACTTGTTTGCGTTCAGCAACACAGATTTGCATTAATATTCTATTCTCTTCTTTCAGAACACAAATGTGGACGACGGAGGCTTCATGAACGACCTGCCTCTTTTAAAAAGTAAGTCTTTCCTCCATTGCACCCTCGTCGAGTCCAAATTTATCGAATAAATCTTCGCTTCGAGCAATAGAAAAATATAAAAATCATCGGCAGAAAAATGTCGCAAATCGAGAAGCGCGTAAAAAAAGTATCGAATCGTTCGCGATTACGAATAAACAATTTCTCCGAAAATTACGAAACTGATCGAGAACGAGCAATACAACTTTCCGAAACGAGGAAGTAACGAAAATATTCTCCTCTCGCCTAACGAGCTATAACTAATTTCGCTGTCAGAGCCCACCTGTTCACCGCGCGTTAGCGGACGCAACCGGAAGCGCGGCTTAAGCTCCGTAGTTTATCTGCGCTCGGATTTTTGTGCGAGCGCGCCGAGCGCGGGCGTCTCAATTGGAAGCGGTCTCCGCTCGATTCGTAACTCCGATTTACCGTCGGAGCAGTCGAACCAACCGTTCAGAGTCTCTCGAAACGATATTTATTCCGCGCCGGGCGGATTTACGTCGCGCAAAACGCAACGTTCAACGGATAAACGCGCGCGAACGGAGCCGCGCCGCGCCGCGCCGAGCCGACCATAATCCCGTCGCATCGGTTCGCGCGTAAAATGTCCGCCGCGCGAGACCGGAAATATAAAGTAGCCACGCCGGTAACTTGTCGCTCTTAATTAGAATTTATCTCCCTCTGCGTCGGATCGGCTGCTCGTCCGTGAACGGGGCTTGAATTTTAACAGCGCCGGAAAGGCAAAAAGGCGGATGGCCTTCGCGGCCGCTTTTAACGCGGCTCTAATGCTCGCGAGTGCGCGCGACCTCAAAAAAAGTCACGGGGATCGTTGAAATAGTTTGGCCGATCGGTCGCCGATTTCTCGGGGAATCGCAGCTCCATTTCGTCCGCCGAAAACCAGTAGCACGAATTCTACCTCGCTGTTGCCGATTCGCGAACGAATCGAACGCGATTGCGAAAAATTCTCCGAAGTTTGCACAAAGAATTATCGAACCTTACGATAATTAGACAGCCGATTTAAAGCTCCTTTTACGTTACATCCGATGGAATTGATCGTTCAACCTTTTGCGATCGAAGCTACCTTAACTCCAAAAACGAGACACTTTTTTTACGGAACTGCCAGTTTATAGGCACGATATCAACCCCATTTGCTCGTGGAATCGCGATCTCGGACTTTAATAACGTAAAGATTCGGTTGAGAAAATATGCAGCAGTTTTTAATGGTGCCTCGGAGTCGTCGTTCGGGATCGAAGAGTTAATATATAAACATAAACGTTAATATACAATTAGAGGTAGAATGTGTAAGATACCGAACGCATCGACTTCATAGCCAGGATTAATCCGAAAATAATCTGTACGAGATGCCGATGGCGGACGACCGAACTTCGCGCACACATTCCGGTATTTAAAATGCTTCGAGAGCCATTAAGACTCGAAACGAAGGAAGATTAGATTGTACGGTTTCATTTTCTTTTTTACTCGCCGTCGTCATTAACGAAGAATTTAGGTTTCTGTAGTTCTCGTTTTTTTTTCTTTTATCAACTTGCTGTTCGAATTCAGGGTGCGCGCAATGTGGTCGGTGGAATTATGGCACAGATCATTCGTTAAGGAAGTACACCGACTTCCAAACCAAAGAGAAGCTCGTCTCTAATAACCTACGCGTTGATATTGAAACTCTTCGGAGACACAGTTTTTTTCACAGATCAAACACGTTATGGACCGTGTCCCGCGGAACGCGTGCTCGAAAACAGGAAAAAGTGTTATAATTAACGGCCAACGCTCGTTATAATTAACGGCTATTACGTTCCTAATGCCTTATTATCGAATAGATCGATACGAAATTATTCATGCAACATTGCAGGTTTTTTAACGCGATAGAATAGCGTCAGGAAATTGATTCTCCAACGACCAGCAAGCAAATGAAATGCCGTCGATCGCGATAAAACGATCGCCACACACGATCGACTCACCGAAGAGCTTTATCTTTGATCTGCTCGAAAGTGTAACCGATGTATCGTTATTTTGCGCCAATTTCACTCCGCATGTATATGTATATTCGCTTCGGAAATAGAACAAGTAGTTTGCAAAGATAATTTTTGAAAATCTCGTATCGGCGAACAGTGTTTTGGAAAATGATGAGGAACGTGTGCCGCCGAAATTCTTTAGTTTTACCAAAGAACAATGCATCGCCAGGGAAGCGAAATGACGGGGAAAGCAGAGACCGCGCAGATCGGACAAAATCCCTAAATCGGCTTCGAAGCATCGTTTCGGGCCTAAAGCCGTCCGGTACGCGGCGACGTTACATTTTCGCACAACGCGCCGCTGCAACCGGCTGCACGGATGCAATTTCGGCCGCGCCCTGCAAAAGGAACGGTCACAGCCGCGTATAGAATCGGTTTGCGGCGCGCGACGGTTCGTTCGACGAGGTTTTTCGTGTAGGTGCGTAAATGGCGTGTAGAGCGCGTAGAGGACGAAGGCGCGCAAGTGTACCGGCCAATAATCAGGGTTGCGTAACGCCGAACCAGTTATCCAGCGGTTCAGCGCGAAGGATGTGTTGCGGATCGCGGCAATGGCTCGCTGGAAGGAAACTTCTGCTCGATCCGTCGATCCTCGGGTCCGGTCCGGTCCGGTCGAGTCCGGTCTGGCCGGACCCGGTCGGCACTCCGCTTGGGTCCGGTCCGCGTCAGCGGCGAGGGACCGTATCGCGGCGATCGCTGCGATCGCGGCCAGCTCAGCCCTGTGCGTCGCGCCGCACCGCGCCGCGCCGCGCCGCGGCGGCCGAGTTGCGAAAGTGTCACAGCCGCGCGCGCGCTTAGTTGGCCCGTCAGAGCCACGGCAGACGGATTTTACCCCCAGGTGATTTTCCTTCGAGACTGCGCACCGAGAAACCGTGGAATCTCGAGCGCGACTACTTTCGAGAAGAGTGACGCGCGAATCATTGACGTCAGAACTAAATCCAGGCCCTGCCGCGAATACGCGACCCGGCTCTGCCGATTATTCTCCCGAGCGGAGACGAGCGCGACGCTTTACCCGGATCACTGATTTTAATCCCCGATGGTCTCGGCTGTCGTGCAAGCGAATCGGATTGCCGGGTATTTTCTGACAAATAAACCGCGCTTGGCAACATTAAATTCGTGCTTGAAATATCCGACGGTCGAGCAGTAGATAAACGCGGTTCACGAGAGGGAGGTTCAGCATTTGTCGTTCCAATACACGTTGATCGTGTGTACCGTTCGATCTAAGATTACGAAGAACGAGAAAATTTGTTGTACGAATCAGCGACGAATCGTCGTTCTGTCTGGATCGGATTCGTTCGTCGGATTTCCGTCGCTTCCTCCAGCAATCGGTTCGCATAATCGAGGCTCGACGAAACGGTTAAACCGTCTGAAATCGGTTGTCGATCGTCGACAACCGTGAAAACGATCCGCGTATTCGAAAGAATAGTCGCATTCCCTCTTCCCAGATTGTTGTTCATCCCTGTTTTCGAGCCGAGGGACAATTCGAGAGAATTTACGGCACTTCCCCGAACTCGAATTACGGGCTTGACACGCAGCGAATAACAGTCAAGTTTTTCGGTGTCGCAGCGCTTAGTCAGTTAGTGTTTACCGAGTGTCCAATTATAAAGCGAACCCTCGGTACGCTCCGTAATTCCCGGGTCTTCTGAATGGCCGACACAATGGCAGAAATGGTACCCGGTCGTGATACGAAGCTAAATACGTTCCGCGAGGGCCGCCGGAGGTGCGAACGAAAAAGAAAAAGAAAAGGAGGAAAAAATAAAGCTCGAGTGGAATGCCCGCAGGCGGATCGGATTTCGTTCATTGTCATTGTAATTTGTTGGCGGGGCGCAGTTTTCGGGGCGTTACACACCGCAGGGGCATTACCTACAGATGGCTGTTTGTTCGAATGTCACTGTGGGTTATTATATGCCTCGTTACTTGCCCTCTGACGGCTTATTTGGCCAGTTCCCCCTCCCTTGCCTGGCCCCCTCCCGACCCCTCCTTTCTATTTTTCTCGGGCGCCTCTTTGTCCCTTTGTTTCGGGGGATGGCCGCGACATTGTATCGTCGGATTTCGAAAGACGAATCGGATTCGCGTTCGCTCGAACGCGATCGCTTTCCTATTTCTGTTCGGCTGGTTCTATTCTCCGTCGATGCTTCGACGTTGACATCTTCGAACGTCGCGAAAATTAGAAAAATGCGACGAAACGGAAGTTGTTTTTTTTTCAATGCAAACAGAAGCGAAACGATAGTCGCGGTTAGTTACAGTTACATTATTATTTCCGTGGTCCAGCGATAACGTTTTCGTCCAAAACAGAAATTAAACGAGAATGTACCGTCCTCTAAAACGCTTGGAACATTTCTTTTCGCGGATCACGCTCTCCTCTCTCATACTTTCAGCGGGCAAAGACAAATTAATTTTAGATCGTCGCTCAACTTTCACGAATTATATCCATTTTACGAAGACGAAAAAATCTGCAAACAATTGCAAAGTTGGCGAACGCGTTAGTACGAAGCAAATGTCGCTCGTCTCTAGGTAATTAAAATTTCTAGTTCGAATTCGAACGCGAACGCGAACGCGTTTCTCGAGCACGCCGAGATCAGCGGCAGAATCGGCTCGTCACTCTTGGAATATTCAGCCGATCGGCAACGAACGGCAACGACAAATACATACATCGCGATCGCCGATACGACATACGCGTTCCGCTTCTCGGAAGCCGGTTATACAATTACTTGCAGCTTACCTTGGCTCCTTCGTCACTACCCGACGTGCTCCAGTTTAACCGTTGCTCGAAGGTATTGGAACGAACCGACTTTTCTTTGATCTCGAATCTGAGAAAAAATGAAAACAGACGTTTCTTATTTTGGAGAAATCGTGGCGTTGCCGACGCGATCGCGGCGGTGAACCGATTCCATCGAAACGGATGTTCGATAACAATAGTTGGCGTAATCGTATCGCCGATAATATGCGTCGTTGTTGTAAATTCGAAGCATGTAGGTTCGAACTGTGGGC